ACATTCGATACATGTCAAGGAAGAACCTGTGATTGCAGAGGATGAAGACTGTCCAATGTCCTTAGTGACAACAGCCAATCACAGTCCGGAGTTAGAAGATGACAGAGAGATTGAGGAAGAGCCTTTGTCTGAAGATCTGGAATGAGAATGAACTTGTGACACCTCAGTGTGAAGGGACATATCACTGACCTTCATAACCACTCCACAACCATGAATATTTGACAAATTTTTACTGTGACTATTTATTAAGCATGGATAAAGGAGACAGCCCTAAAGGAACTTAATAAGCCAGCCCTTTGGGATTCAGAATCAACAGGCAAATTGCTTGTTTTCTTCTCTCTCTGTCTTTATTGTTTATTTCTTTATTTTACTTTATTTTACTCTTCTTTTCTTTCTTTTTTCTTTTTTTAGGAAAAAAAAGCAAAAACTGATTTTCTTGGGAAAAAAAGAACTGTTCTTTCCATAATGGCTCTGCCCATTTAAAAAATGTGGCTCTTAAGGGTTCATGAAATGACTGAATATGAGGATACATGTCCTATAGAAAGCAACTGCGCCTCATATACTGCCAAAAATAGTGTTAGTTTCATTAATGTGAATTTTCCAGCATTCAGTAGTTGTAATGTTAGAAACAATTGCTGGTCAAGTTCAACTTGTTGCTATTGTTTTTAATTTGCACAGGAGTAGTATCAGAAATTAGTGTCACTGCTTGTATCTAGCTCAATTTTAAACAACGGAACATTAGTTTTTTTTTTTTTTTATGTTGGTGCCACCAACTGTAAATGACATAAGTTAGTTATTACAAAACACAGTATTTAGACTGTTGCAACCATCTAAAACCTTAGGCTTCCAGTCTGTGCTGTTAGTGTTAAGATGTAAAGTGCAATCCTAAGCTAACATTATCTGTGCAAGCACCATAGAAACATTTGCATATCTGCATAGATCTTACAACTGTACTCTTTACCTCCTTGTGATAAAGCTTTGTCTACCTGCAAACACAGTCAAAGGCTACAGCTGCAAACCAAAGCCAACTCTAACCATGGCCAAGAGCTCAAGGACAGAAGCAGCCACATGCTTTGGTCAGCCTTCTGTAACTTCAATTAGTACAAAGGAACCTTTTCCAGGAACTACCTGCTGTTTTCTGATGACCTCTGGGATCTTTTCATTTAGCCCTAAACCAAGAAATAAATATGACAAAACCACAACTAAAAGAGTTCATTCAGTCACAGAGTAATCTTCTGAGGCCAAAAGTCCATCTAAATGCAATGAAGATTTGCTTTCAATAAAGACAGAGGTGAGGACAAAATCTGCAGTGGAAGTTATGACATTCTAGAAAGCAAGAAATGTGGATCACTGACCAAAACAATTATGTACTTGATGCAAATGCAGATTGCGTATTGTTATATATATATAGTACATTGTGTTTTTGTTTTCTCCATCCAGTCAGTTCTTTTTGGTGGTGAGTACATGTTGTTAGAAGTACATGTCTTGTATGGTCTTAATCTCTGTTGTGTACTATTTTTTTTATAGTCTTAAGTTATAATGAAAAAAAACAAAAACAAAAAAGTAGGAACCAAACATAAAAGGTCTAGTAAAGCCAAAAATTAATTTCCTATTGATTTTAAAGTGATCTAGCTGAGTTTTTACACTGAAAGCAAAGATTATAGCAAGTGTAGCCCATGGTATTTATTTTCAGTCAAACCAAAGTTACATATAATTCTGCCTCTTCTTATACGGGATATAAACACTAACACACTCCCTTCAAAGACTTGTGCAGGCAAAATTGTTGGAATGCTGATTTTCTCGACAACTCTAAACCCCAAAACTATGATAATACATTATGGTGTAGTTGAAGATAGCATAGTCAGATGTTTGCTTAAAACCTAGAGACTTTACGTGTTGCTTTTCATGTGCTGTGCCAAGTCTTGATAATACTTTTTCCCCCAACCAAGGGACCTCATAACCTGATTATGGTTATTGCTTTACAAACAGTTTTGACAGAAGGTGGCTGCTAGAGCTTAATATATGTCCCGGTTCCATGTGATGGAGCTGGTTCTTGCAAACTAAGCTCAACATTTATCCTTTGCTGGAGTCAGCAAATAGAGTTAGAGAGATACCCAGTCATCTATCACACCAAATAAAAAGACATAACGGCTTTCAAAAGGGTTTTCCCACTTACCCAAAAGGCTTTCTGAAAGCTTCTACCTCTGCAAAAAAGAAAAAAAAAAGAAAAAAAAAAAAAGAAAAAAAGAAAAAAAAGGATAAAAAAAGAGAAAAAAGTTAGAACAATTATGGCAGATTGCATGAAACATGAGAACGTCACAGTAACTGCTACTTTTCATTATGTTTGTCTTTGGGTCATGATCAACGAACCGGAAGTTATTGACATGGTATCAAAGGGGAGATTGGTATTCTGAAGGATGGTTCTCTGATGTCTAGGATACTGCTGTAAGGCTATCTGAAAGGGCCACGAGTCTTTCGGTGCATGTTCAAAAAGCTTTGATGGACTGGAAGTAACTTGGAGAGTTGTACCATCAGGAAGGTGGCCTAAGACTACAATGCTAAAGTATGCATACCTCAGTTTCAAAACTTTTGAAAGGAAGTCTCAGCCACAGAATGCATATACCTGTAGAGTTTTGCATGGGTTTTATATGAATACAATTTTAAAAAAATAGCTGCTTGCACATTATACCAGAAAAACCTCCAAAACTGCAATTGCTTTGAAAATAGATTTTAGGTTTTTTGGAGTTTTCTGAAATGCTTGGTCTGTATTTTGATAATTGTGCATATTATGTAAAAATGTTGGTGGACCCATAAATGACCAGACTTTTTCTAAGAAAAACGTTGCTTTAATGCATTTCATGGATTTTTACTCTTCTATCATTGCTTGCTAGTAATAGCAAAACCTGCTTTTCTGCATCTGCTTTGCGTAGCTATTGTAAGGCTTTGAACTAATGTATGTATTTATTGCTTGAACTTCTGTGCATACCTTATAAAGCATAATGTCTGACAATTTAAATGGCTCATGTATTCTTGCTTCTACCATAAGCTGATTATGGGGACTATGATCTTTTGTATACAACAAATTTTAACTGTAGCACAAACATCTGTTTATGTATTGGTGGGATATTACCTGTTTTATTTATCTTCTTTGAGGTAAACTAATTTTTGATACTTTTCATTACTGTGTACTATGTTCATACTTTGAATTCTCTGACGTTAGAAGTCATGGTTGAGAATTGTAACAGCTGTTATTTGTTCTGTATTCATGGCTTTCACTGCTGAATAAAATAAAGGACCAAACCTAGGATTTGAAAGAAAACTGTCTACCTCTAACACCAGGGAGTTATCAGATTCTATTTTACATAGTTTTAGTCTACAAAGACACAACTGATTAAACCTAGTGGGCTTACGGCTTACACTCTATGTGGTTGGATTCATGGCACCATTGTATTGTTTGAAAATCAATTAAAAGTTTATGTGACTGTAAAGTATTTGGTAGAATTACCACTAACTGGGTTTTCTTTAGATAAGTCAGATAAAGGGAAATGGCATCAGCATTCTGTGTCTTCGGTGGCTAACTTCATAAGAATGCACTTCTGTGTGATTATGGAATCGAAGAACAGTCAGCTAAGAATAGAGCTACAGAAGTACACTTAAAATAAATGCTCCAGGACTTTAATGTCCCTGGGCAAATTCAGTTGCAAAATCCAATAGACTATTTTGTAAACTTTTCAAATTGGGCATATACATTTTTTGAGAAATTGGAAGGCCTCTTATTAACTCGTGTCAATATTAACACACACCTGGACAGTATATCTTCTTTGACACATTAGCTATTGTAAGTAACAAGGGTTACTTGTTACTTCGTTCATACAGATTGCAGTGAAAGAGGCTTTTCTCTCTCCATTCAAGAACACTTGACATATCTGACTTAGAGGAAAAGAAGGTTGTACATTTTCCTATAGAATTAATGTGTGAACAGTGTGTCACTACTGCTGGATGTAAAAATGTATATGAAACCATTTCATTCAGTTGGTTACATTTTCTGAAGTATAAATAAAAAATCAATTCTTTTTGACCCATTTATAACCACTAGGATTTTATTCTTTCGGAGAGACCATTCTTCCATACTAGGGACAAGCCATAAACTTGTGTGCCCATGTCCTGCAATTTGTTTTTAAAAAGAAATGAATTACTAAGAAATTGGTGGTATTAAAGCAAATCAAACTCAAATTTAGTCAGTAAAGATTTCAGCTGCTTGTCAGATGCATCCCAATAACCATACTTGGGTTCAAATTTGCTCCATGGTAGCCTTGTTTGTTTCCCTTTTTTACTCAAATAGACCTTGGCATTGTAAAAGTCAGACCTTAAAACATGACGATATTAATACCCTTGATTTTTTTTGACGATGTTTCACTTTTGTTTGACATCCCTCCACCCACATATTAGTTATATTCATCACATACAACCATTATCTAGGGAATGCACAGATATACTAGACACAAGTTTTGAGTAGATTTATAGGATGTTGGGAGTAAATTGTAGACATTTTTAGAGGCATAACCCAACAAGCAACATATGATATCTTTGTTACTTCCCAGCAACAAAATGATTGTAGATGGAAAATAAATGTGTTGGGTATATTTTTATTTTATGCATAATATAATGCTGTCTGTCATCCCAGTGAAAGCATAAACTTGACTAAAATTCTGTTCACAGGATACAGAATTGTTTTAGAAGAAACGTGAATGTGAGATAAATTTTCTTGAATTTTAAAATTCCTTTTTTTTTCTTATTTATTAGTTGGAAGTAAATGAATATTAAGTTTCCCTGTCTAGTGTATTTTGTTAACTGGCAAATGATAACATAATAAGAATGAAGTTCTGGGACCATGGAAATTTTAGTACATGGAAAATAACTTAGAGATTAAAACTAACAGCATAAGAAAGAAGCAAGACTGATTTGTCAAACACTTCTGTATTTAGCTCTATATACAAGATTATGCCATCCTTTAGTTAAACGCTGCAGAAATATATTTTGTGTGGTGAGAAGAAGATCAAATGCTTTTAAAATGTTGGTCACAAGTTACTTTCAAATTTTCAAAAGTTAAAAATAATATAGAATATAACTAAACAAACTCCAATTCCAATGGCAAGTCACATGCAGTTTCTGGAACTGAAATAATAATGGAACAGCCTTTATTGTGCTATATTAACACATTGCATATGTTGCAGAAAATCATATTTAGACAAATTCTAACATTGGAATGCTAATGAAAAAAATTCAGCTGTATCTTCTTCACATCATTATTCAGTTTTTAAACTTCAAAGAAAGCTCTTTAAAAGTGTACAAAGTGACTTCAAAAGA